TATGCTGCCCTCACGACACGTGACCATGTGAAGCTAGACAGCTAGCGAACAAAATAGAGGAGATCTTCCACACAAGGCTTGCTTTTCTTGCTTTTAATGAAGATCCTTTAAAGTCTTATCTCTCTCAAGGCTTCTCCTTGCTATTTCTTATTTGTAACTGAAACATACAGAAAATGAAAATAAATTGCTAGCTAATACACATCTTAATGACAAACTTAGCCTAGCTTAACACGTGCGTTACATCAACATCGCAGTTCACTCCAGGTAAACACATATAAAAGTTATCTCTGAACATATTAATACTCACAAAGACGAACGTTTCCCAAGGCACAAACGTGTAGGGCACTCTTAGCGTGTACATGAACTCGTTCACTCTTTTAATACTGCCGAAACACTTTTCACGGCATTAACGGAGAAAATACGTCAAAGATAGGTTAATGATCAGAGCGCTCCCTCGCTCCCATTTCCGCACATACAATGCAAAGATCGCTTGTGATAACGATGTCTCACTCTGAGCAAATTACAAACCCATACATTTTAACTGTTTTTAGCATGAATCACTTATAATATTTCTTAACTTTGAACTTATTTATCACTTTGCTTATGTAACTTAATCAGACTATGCACTAACTACTGACTTTTGACCAAAAGGCATAACACTCCCCGCTTGATATACACACATTATATCACAATAAACATCAATACAACATATTCAAACATCATTTAGCATTGAAGAATATTCATTCAGTCTCTGCAAGCAAAATAACAATCTCTGAAACTGGTCCGAGAAACATTTTAACAGTCCCATCTTTTACAGTCCGCACTTCCACTTTCCGGACCTTCTTGTCGCTGCTGGGGAATGTTTTTACTATTAGTCCCATGGGCCATTCGTTCCTGCTGGCTTGGGAGTCCTTTAGCAGGACCACATCTCCTTGTTTGACATTAGGTCTAGTCTCTGTCCATTTTGCACGACTTTGTAAGGTGGACAAATACTCTCCTTTCCACCTTTTCCAAAAGGTATCAGCAAGGTGTTGAACATGTTTCCATTGTTTCCCAAACAACTGCCCTGATGAAAAGTTCTCAAGTGGAGCAGACACAGCACTCATCTTCTGCGTTAGTAGCACTGCTGGAGTGAGTACTGCAGGACTGTCAGGGTCGGTGGATATGGGGACAAGAGGCCTTGCATTAATAATTGCCATCACCTCGGCCATGAAGGTGCACAACACTTCATGAGTAAGACGTGTTTGTTCAGTTCGTAACAACATTGCATCCAGAATGCGCCTGGCAACGCCTATAAGGCGCTCCCACGAGCCTCCCATGTGAGACGCATGAGGGGGATTGAAAGTCCAAACACACCCTCTCTCTTGCAGGTACTTTCCTACTGCTTTGTTTCCTGCGTTTAGGTCTAATTCCTTACAAGCGCCCACAAAATTCGTGCCTCTGTCTGAGCGCAGAAACTTGGCTGGGCCCCGAATAGAGAAGAGCCTTCTTAATGCATTGATAAAACTATCAGCAGACATAGTCTCTATCAGTTCGATATGCACAGCCCTAGTTGACATGCATGTGAATAACA